TTTCGAGCAGTAGAATTGTTTTTGTTAATAACTGACTATTCGACGAATTTTACGACGGACCGTCGAGGGTCTTCGTGCCAAAACACTTAAACTCTGATATTTGGGTACGGGGAATCAACTCTCTGAACTTCGCGACGAAAGAGCAGCACGGACCGTCGTAGACACGACGGATCGTCACGAGCATCTTCGCTAAAATCGACTCTCTGAACTCTGTGACGACCCTGCAGGACGGACCGTCGCAAGCACGACGGGCCATCACGAACTGCGTAACCTTGACTGGGTCGGATTTCTGCTAAAGTTTTAAAAGGGTGTTTTGGACTATTTATGACAAACTGTATGAAATTAGTGGGTAAGTTTAATAACTTATTTACTTGGGGGTTAAAGGAGATAACCTTAAGATAATCAATGGGTCACTTTTATCATAATGAATTATATGATAATTAGGGTAAAAAAGAAAAAGATAAAGAAGAGAGGGAAGAACGAGCGAGAGAGGGAGAAGCGAAGAGGAAAGCAAAGACTTTGAGAAGTAGCTTGCTTGATCACGATTCTTCGGTGGAGGTAGATTATGGTTTATGCTATTTCATAGTAAACTCTAAATAGCGATTGATATGTATTGGGTGGTGTTGTAAAGTCTTCTATATGCTTAATTGGTGTTGTAAAGTCTTCTATATGCTTAATTGTGTTGTTGCATGTTGTGATTATGTAAATGGTGATGGATTATAATGATAATACTATGGAATCTTAAAAACCTTAAATCCACTCTATTAATGATGATGCCTTGATATAAAAGAAGGCTTGATGAACTAAAATAATGAGGTTAATGGATCGGGTGTCACGAACCGACACGTAGTATTAGGGGATCGGGTGTCACGAACCGACACGTAGTATTAGGGAATCGGGTGTCACGAACCGACACATAGTATTAGGGGATCGGGTGTCACGAACCGACACGTAGTATTAGGGGATCGGGTGTCACGAACCGACACGTAGTATTAGGGGATCGGGTGTCACGAACCGACATGTAGTATTAGGGGATCGGGTGTCACGAACCGACACGTAGTATTAGAGGATCGGAGTGTCACGTTCCGACACAAGAGGAATAAAGAGAATGAATCTTGAATTATGGAATATACTCAAACTTAAAGAACCTTTTTCCCAAATGAGTATGGTGTGGAGGCTTGAGTCCTCAGGCGTGATCTTGACACCGTTGACTTAATACGTGCTTACTTTATTGTTATTGACACTTGTTCATGTTGTTTGTTGCTTATCACGTGTTAAGTGCTGTAGTTGATTTTTTATTATTACTCAATGCATATTGCTTTCTATTTTGT